CTGCAGTCAACTACCGGCTAATTTTTCGCCTTGCTAATCCTCACTCTGGCAAAGCGCCACCCCACCAAGATGGCCAGGCCCACCTCGGATCGCTTTGTCATCAACATGTTTCCACAACCTGTCCAAATGAATCCACAATCTGCCGACAACATCTGGAGCACCATACGCCACGCGATTTCCGAAATTATGATCCGCAACATTTCTAACCTCTCCTTCGAGCAACTCTACCGTTTTTCCTACAAAATGCTCCTGCACAAGCACGGCGATTTTCTATACAAAGGCCTGCTTGAACTCCTCACAGAGCACTTGCAAGGCGTCGCCGCTCTCATCAGTGACGCAGATTCCGAGGATTTCCCCCCGGGAGATCAGACGTTAGTGGGGCTGTTTTTCCCTCTCCCTGGCAGATGTACGCGACGTCCTCATGTACATGGACAGGCATTATGTCAAGAGCAAGCAAACGAAAACTGTTCATGAGCTGGGCTTGTCCCTCTTTCGCGACGTCGTTATTCTCGAGTCTACTATTCTCCCACGACTCAAGGGCACCTTGCTCGGTATTATCGATGAGGAGAGGAATGGCGAAGCAGTGGATACCCATTTGATAGGCGCCATCTCGCGTATGCTGACTGAGTTGGGCAACAACGAGCTTGGTAAGTCATTCTGCGTCAATGTCTTTGAGGAAGATTTCCTTGAACGCACGAAGCGCTTTTACGCACGCGAGGCACGTTTGTACTTATCGGAGACAACTTGTTCGGATTACTTGAGAAAGGCCAATATGCGCATCCACGAAGAGCACATGGGCGTTGAATCTTCTGGAACTGCGAACAGATTCTAGGGTTCGCAAGGTGGCAGAGGTTGAGCTCATATCCACGTATATGACCCGTCTTGTCGATATGCAGAACTCCGGGTTGATTTGGATTCTGCGAAACGATAAGATTGCAGATCTGCGACTGACGTACTCTCTGTTCCGTGACATAAAGAAGGGAGATGAAACGCTGCGCACGAAGGGAGATGAAACGCTGCGCACGAAGCTAAAAGATGAAGTCTTGGAGCGGGGCACAGACCTTGTACAGGATCCTGAGAACATCAGAGACCACGCTTCGCTTATCAACGCAATACTTGTTCTCAAGGACAAGTACGACAAGATTATCACTTATGCATTTTACGTGCGTGCGACGGGTTCCTCTGAGGTTGTCACGAACGCGGCTGGTAGTACAATAATAGGGTTTGTCATGCAGACCATGCAGGAGCAACGTCTGAGAAGCGTGCCTTTTCTTCCAGCGGAAACGAGGCTGCACTGAATGCGAGTATGTCGGATTCATCGGTTGCACGTTCGCGCGAAAGCAGGGCGATGACGTTAAGTGAGCGTATGCGAAAGGCTGTGATTCATGGGAAGGGAGTGAACAAGGACGTACTGAGTCTTGTTGAAGAGAAAGCAGACGAGGATTGGACACGGAACCCAGATGTGTGGGAAGGCTTCTTCTGGGAGATTCTACACAAGGGCGTTCATGGGAAGCCCATAGCGGTGAATTAAGGTGTTGACGTGGAGACTGAAGGGACATACAAGGGCGAGTCGTATGTGGAATTCTGCGGCACGGATGCTACAGGTCGTCTGGTAGAAAAAGAGAAGCGCCCTGTACCTGGAGGCAAGAAGGACGCCTCCAAGGCTGAAGCAACTGTGACCAGCGCCCCAGACAAAGCCGGAGACACCATCGAGGTTGACGAGAGAAAGCATTCGAATATTGGAAAGCCCTCTGCACAGCGATGCAAGAAACGGAAGCGAAAAGTAGAAACCTCTTTTGCTGACTTTCCCGGCCCCAAGTGCCATGTCGGCAATCTCAACATGGAACGCCTTTTGCGTCACATGCCGCGTATGCCGGGAGTGAACCACTCAATGTTCTACTTCGGTCACATGTTTACGCGATTTTGTTGGCACACCGAGGATGCCTTTTTGAATTCAGTTTCCTACCTTCGCCGCGGAAGCGCTGACAATATTTGGTACGCTATACCTCTGAAATACGCCGAGGCCTTCGAGACATATGCTGCCGAGAATGTTTTCAATGATCGGCTGGCCAAGGACTAGCCTTCTGCACAGAGATCTTTGATGTGCAAGACAACCATCTTTGATCTGAGGGAACTAAAAAGCCGAGGGATTGAATGCCATCGTATTCGGCACAAGCCAGGTTCCTTTGTATTGACAGCACCTCGTGCTTATCATGCTGGATTCAACTGTGGTTTCAATATCACCGAGGCTGTGAATTTTGCCAACCCAGGATGGTTCCCAATCGGCCGACAAGCGTCCCTTTGTGCTCGCCAAGGGGCCTACACTTTGATTGTACCATACGAATACCTCCTGTCTCATGAGGCCAAGTCGCTACGAGATGCGCACCTAACTACTACGAACATAGAGAGAATATCGCCAAGCGCAAGGACTGGTGCTCGCATCCTTGCCGGCGAGCTTGGCGCAGTGTTGGAAGAGGTGGAAAGAAGGCTGCGGGAATACGCGCAGTCGAGCAACTGTCGGATCGCCATGTTGAATGACGTGGATAGGCTTGTTAAGAACAATCATCTGGGACCCGAGTTTTGACCTGGTGCTGGGATAGTGTGTTGCATATGTAAGCACGCTTGTCAATTTTACGCTGAGATCTGCGAAAGTTGCCCCGACAACCGTGAGGCACGATGTGTATCTCATTTTGGCCGCAAGTTTAGTTCTCGCTGCCGACGAGCAGGACACAGGCCTGTGCTGGTCAGGACGCATGATTCTGTGCTTCTTGGGGATCATTCCTCTCGCCTGGAAGATGTGGCTGGCGTACAGTCAAGCACCGAAACTTTTTGCACAGACGCAGAGGTTTTCTTCGGATTTGGGAAACGCCGCTTCGGAGCTCTGGGCTTCGGTTGAAATTCCAACCAAGCCCGACCCCCTCCGCCACGTCTTCCCCGTCTCCTATCTTTCATCCCCTCATCTTCATCCCCGGTTTCCAAGGCACCTTCCTCTGCCACCGCTCGCGTCCTCTCTTCCTCGCCCCCGTTACACCTTCTACCTACACTCAGCTGTATCCTACGCATTATCCTCTTTCCCTCCCCTCTCTCTGTAGAATATCCGTCCTCCACAAGCGCTCCTTCCCCACATTCGCATGTCGGCCACTGCCAACCGCTCCCTACGCGCGGCCCGGTGCATGCACTTTTCACGTATCTACGAGCGAACGGTATGGCTTATGTCAGTGCAGTTGGCTATAACTGGCGCCACGACACATCCATTCCGTCCGAGAAGCCCTCTGGCGAAGGAGTTCTTCCGAGGAGATAATGACAAGTGCGTTACAGAGGGGTTTAGTTTTGGCGCAGGTGGGTTGCCATCATTGAGGTTGGAGGAATTTTGCTTACATCACATTGGGCGTTTTCTCGTTTTTATTGCACAGGTGCACCAGCTTACACGTCCCAGGTTACGAAAGAAGGGTGTCACCGTTCTAGAGCGTGTCACTCTGGTCATTTCAGACGAAAGTCAGGTAAGCTTATTCGTTAATGGGACTAAGTCGGGGCGCATTTATCCTTGTCAACCGAGTATACATTTTCCGTCTTCAACGTCTGTTTTGGGTTGTCTAACGGGCGCGCGGTTTTCTTTTTTGCGACCTCCCAGCTTGTGCTTTTGAGTTCTTCCTCCCTGAATGAGTTTGATCTTGCAAAGAGATTTCTAAACAACGTCAACGTCGCAAATCAATGGGAGGCCGCGGAGATTGAGGCCGCCGAGGCAGAGCGGGACGAGGCCCGACGCGAGCTTGAGGAGCTGACAAAGGGCATGCACGAGGGGGACGATGAAAAGGGCGATGTTGAGGAAGACGTCTCTCCCGCGAAGGACGACCTGCCGGAATCCCCGCAATTGAAAGACGTGGAGGAGAACGGCAAGGATGGTTGTTCTGCTTCTGGTGGGAGCCCAATAAAACGCAAGCTTAGTGAGGCCTTTGGACTACCGAGCAGGAGCGGTCCGAGGCGCATCTGCCGCGAGGTCGAAGAGGTGGTGGAACATAACGACGGCTATCTGATTACAAGGGTGGTCACGAAAGTATTTGACGACGAGTGTAACGAGTTGCCTGATGACACCCCGGTCACGGAAGAGCCGGAAAAGCCTCAGTCTCCATTGAATGCCGCGCAAGCGCTGGGCTTGCGCGGCATTGCGCAGCGCGTCTCTTTGCGCCCGAGCTTGCCGAGGTGCTCGTCGGAGTGCCGCTGCATGTCTTCGAGCGCCCCGCGCGATGCGGGCGGCGCGCCGCCATCGCCTCGGGCGGCAGCGTCGCCTTGCGCGAGAGCGCCGACGTGTCCGCACCCCGCTCGCTGACGCCCTCACATCCCCGACCCGCCTCACATGTGCCCTTCGTCTATCCCGTCCTCCACCTGCACCCCCGGTCAACATACCGACACCCTCACTGTACGTACTGCGGTGGCACTGCGTTAGGTTTACTAGGGGATGCAGATAGTAGAACGATGTAAATGGGAGCGGTTACGAAGCACTCCGAGCTCGCATTGCACTGCATTTACATACATATTGGACGCAAAGAGAATAAGTACAGGCCCGAAACGCTGGTTCCAAAACGGGGTTTCCAATGCTGTTTAGGGTGTCGGATCGGAGGGTAATTCCAGGGTGGCTGGCATGCACATGGAGTGTACAACACTCCGTGTGCATGCAATGTGCACTCATATTGCGCTTTCATTGGGCAAGGTGAGTGCGCGTCACGTGCTCTACAGTACATGGCACCAATAAGCAAATTGCCCTCAAATTACGCTCCAAAAACTTTTGATTTTTCTACTAGGGGGACGGGGACAGTCGATCGTGAGAACGTCTCGTAGAGGTCAGCCTCTCGGGACGTCCTTGGCCGTGCCGCACGGGCAGCACGAGGGGCGAGTCTTCGACGAGCACCAGGCACGAGTGCAACTCGCCGACTAGTGCTCGGAGACTCTCCAACGATTGGCTCTCTCGATTGAACCTCCCTTCAAGCCGGGAGCGGAGCTCCTCCATACAGCGTGAGTAGAAGGCGTCCGTAACGTCTATGCGGAGGGAAGTACGGACTTCCTCAATGTACTTCGCTTTGTGGTCGAACATCGCCGCCGCCTGTCCTTTGGGGGACTCCAGCGACGGTTCGCGGTCCCGAGGACCTGCGTCGCCGTCGCCAAACGTGGCTGATGGGGCGTACACAGCGGCAGACCTCGGATCCGCCGATTCAGGGCGGATCGTGGGGGCGTACTCTTGACTCATCTCAACGCGTACAGACGCGGAGGAAGACGAAGTCTTCTCGGATCGATCTCGAGGGACTTCTAGGTCGAGAGATCACTGTAGCATAAACACTCCCAACGAAGACGGGTGTTTGCACAGTCCTGGAAGACCCGATCGTACGAGAGAAAACGGGGGAAGCACAACCAGCAACGGAACCGTGAAGCGGGCCCGGGTAGCGTGGTAGAGCGGGACGGATGAGGACGCGCGCACGCACGGGCCGATTTAAGCCTCGACGCCCCGGAGCAGCGCTGGGAAACGTACCAGCGCTGACGAACGGAGGAGGATCTAGAATCGCTCGCTTGCTGTCGCGTCCTCTACACGCTTAGTTCCATCTACACGCGAGCTACAAGGGAACGCTCGTGTAGAATAAGCTGGAAGTCAGACCTATGCGGAAGGTCGTGGACTAGCCCGTGCTTGTCCCCCTTCGCCGCCGCTGGTCCGATCCCGTGTTTAATATACAAAGTAGCCTATGATAACACTACAATAGTGCAGGTTGGCCTGCAGTGTATCGCTGCCAGCAGTCGAGGCTGGTTGTACACGTGTGCGCCGCGCATAGTATACGTGGGTACGTG